CTGCTGGTGTGTGCCAACTTGTACAGCCACTTTGGAAATCAGTATGGGGACTCCTCAAGAAAATGGGAATGAGTCTACTACAAGATCCACCAATTCCACTCTTAGGCATATACCCAAAAGAAGCACATTCATACAACAAGGTTTTCCTGTTAAGGAAGAGTTAGATATGAGAGGTAGAAAATGGCTGCCTAGGGGTCGAAGCTGAATTGAATCTTAGCTGGGCCACATCAAGACAGATGAATTAACTGGGTCTTGGACATACTCACTATGCCTGGCTGATCTTTTTCCTGTAAGTAATTTTGCTTACAATTAGCTATATATTTAATTACTCAGGGGTGCTCTTCTTTTGTAAAAGACAGTGATCTCTAACATAAAATGGAAAACTTGGGATAAAATAAAATTCTGTATGCCAAGAGTTGGTACATTTTTTCCAAGATTTCCTCTCTGTTCCTACCAGTTACACTTCACCTCCTCATCCAGTCAGGTGTGCTTGGTTTTAGCTTCTACAAAGGGGATAGTTGCTATCCCCTTCTTTCCTTCTTCTTCTTTTTTTTGGGGGGGCGGTTGAGACAGGGTTTCTCTGTATTGCTTTGCAGGTTGTCCTGGAACTCACTCTATAGACCAGGCTGGCCTGGAACTCACAGAGATCTGCCCACCTCTGCCTCCCAAGTGCTTGGATCAAAGGTATATACCACCAATGCCCGGCTAGGGAGCAGAATTTTTTTAAAAGATTTTTTAATTTGAATTAGAAAGATTATTTTACATGTCAATCCCAGTTCCCTCTTCCTCTACACCTCCCATGCCCCCCAAATAACACCCTACCTATAGACCTATACTTTTAATCACAAACTGCTAAGCAGTTGTCATATGATTATAATTTTCGTTTCTACTTTGTATACTACTATATAAATAAAGGATTGAATGATTATTTGCTTAACTTTTTAAAAGTAAAGTAATTACACCAACTAAAGCAGAAGATTTATCTCTTTGGGGTTGAAGTTGCTCTGAAGTCCTGATTATTCACTCAAGTCTACTGCACACATAGTTAATTTTCTAGAAAGATTCTCTGTGTAAAGTAGTTATTAAGCTTTGACCATAGATGCTCACATCTCTGTTCTTAGCACTAGGGAGTCTGAGGCAGGAGGATCACAAATTTGAATCTGGAATGGGTGTAAAAGGTAAATTAACTGTCCTAAGCTTTAATCTGCTCCTGAAGTGATTTGGGAGAGTACAGTAGGGAAGAGAATTGCCAACCTACTTTAAAGGCTACAGAACTGTCTATAGTCATCATCAAAAATAAAATTATATCAACCTCTTAAATCATGTACAGCAGTTAACAAGGGGAGGCAAGGTCCTTCAAGATAATGGGACAAGTCTAAGTAAGAACATCACAAAAATAGGTAATATTTTTATGCCCTTTTCTTTGATCACAGAAGAGTGCCATTTACAGCTTTGCTATTATCATAGGACCATCAATTTTAAGAAAAGAGAAGAACGTATATTCTATGTTGAGGTAAGAGATGGTTTAACATCATAAATTGTTTTTCAAATGAGTAGGCCACATCTCATTTTCATGTAGAAAATGCTATGATAATAAAGCTCTCAAAGTTGAGGCATGGGAATGCTTAATGAAACTACTTTAAAAATGTGAATGAGAGGGCACGAATAAATTTTGTGTAAAGCCCTGAAGACCATGATCTAATTGAATTTCTACCTATAAATTCTACATCCTCAATTGAACACTACAGCCAGAAAGTCACTAGAAAGTGTAGGTAGTTTTGCAGACACTTATGAGAAAGGAATATTTTGTGTTACATTGCAGTCAATCTCATTTCTAATTAAATTAATGTTAATGACAGTGAAATGCATGCTAACAACATTTCTACATTAGGAAATTTGTTTAGGATGTGTCACAAAACTGATGGGCAAAAAGGGATTCAATAATATTTCCATCTACTTGTTGCATATATTTGTTGTGCATCAAGATTCATATTCAGTTTATCTTGTTGTGACTATTGGTAATAAAAACTGAACTACTCATGTTGCTATTTCTTCTTTCATCAGAAAGTATATAACTTTATAGGATGAATTTTGTATTACTGATATAAATATACTAATGAAATATCAGTGAAATGTTCACCCATTATTCTTTCTCTTAGTATGATTGAAAACTGAAATACAAAAATACATAGTGTCAACACAGAATTTAAGTAACACAATTATATGATGCTGAAAATGGTACATGTTCTTGAGAGATAAATATCTAATTTTTTTGCTTGCTCAGGGTTTTTCAGGCAATATTGACAAGTTGATATACTCCCATTAAAATACTTAGTCTATGACAGAGCATCTGCATTTAAAGCCCAGGGAACATTGAAGAAGAGGGGGTAGAAAAGAAAGAATAGAACTTGAGCTGTGAGGTTGTTTCTTCTAGCTATATCACGACATGTATAGACATAAAATGCCAATAATATTTCTTCTTAAATAAGACCTGAACAATGACACCTCCAACTGACATTCCAATGAGAATGGGTGACATTTCACAGGGTCCAACCCCTACATGAAGCACAACAGGCAATTAGGGCAGTTTAAAGTGAGAGAATAAGCCTTTCCTAGGATGAATTCCCTATATATTAATTCAATCCCAAGTGGTTAGCCCTAAAGACATATATACAAGCAACACTAAGTAGATTCAGCAGGTCATATTAATGTTTATGTACAGATGTGCACATATTTTTGAAGAAAAAGAGGCTATGAATTTGAGAGGGAGAAAGAGAATGAGAAACATTGGTGAGAGGAAATGGAGTGAAGAAATTATAATATTAAAATTTAATTAAAGAAAATTTTGAGACTTAGGAGTTTGCATGCTTGATTTTAGTTGTCAACATGGTGAAATATACATGCACCTGAGCAGGGTCTCTAAGGATGTCTGCAAGGGATTGTTTCAACAATATTGTTTGAAGTCAAAAGAGCAACCCATTAGGTGGCATCATCCAGTGGCTCTCCAGGGGGTAGATAAGGAGCTAAGTAATGAATGTATTATTTCTTTCCTGTCCGCACATGTATGAGCTGCTGATAATGATTTCAATAGTGTCTCCCATCTTGCTGTAAATTTACAGTGAGGAAATAAGAAATACTGTTCTAGCCACCTGCTGCATGTGCCAACAATGATGAATCCTACTTCTGGTCTACATCCTTGGTAGGAAGTCATGACTTTACCTTAGCAGTTTTACTATCCAAACACACTCCCAATCACATCATGAGGAAAACACCAGAAGACTCTCAGTTGAAATCATTCTGTCCAGTACCTGATGCTCTCCTCTCTGGCTGTACATGTACTGTAGTCCAGCAGCTGCTTCAAGTTCCTAAGGTATTGATTTTATCAAAAATGTAGAGCTGAAATTTTTACCTACTTAATAGAATTGATTTGGGCTTCAAGGGTAGAAACTACCGATAGATATTAATAAATATAAGCAAGTCTTTAATGTTTATTTTTATCAAATTAGGCTTTCATTTGAGGCTATTTATACATTTTCTATTAGTTTCTATGGAAAATGCATTAGCATTTTAATGCATTAATTAAATGAGGAGGTTATAATATAGATCTACAATTTTCTTCATGGCTGCATGATAGGAGATATCTCAAATGAAGAGAGTATGGCCTTCCTAGAAAGGAAACAGATAATAAGATATATGACTACCACTTTTACAAATTGCCAGCATGATTCTTTTAGAAAAAATATACCCTTTAGATACAAAGATGGGCAGCTTCATATGAACAAGGCAGCAAGAATCAAGTGAAATAAATGTGCCTTGATAACATATTAGTGACTCCATTGGTATAAATATTCTTTGCAATTCACAGTGAAATACTATATGATGTTTGATGTGGCCGTCACCACAAGTTAGTGAAGTTCAAAGTGTTCAAGGTATTGTTCTTGAATATCTGCTTCCTCATGTTTTCAAGAGACAAAACTTCTACCTCCTATACAGATATAATGAAAATGCTAATACCATTGCATTGCTACAGGATTGCCAATATATCTACAGAGAGTAGAGAGATTTAGCATTATGTTAATCATGATTCTTGGCAATTAAGCTTAATCTTGCTCCTAATTCAAGCAATATGGACTTGCAATTATTTTTCTTCTCAGTTTAAGTACCAAGCTTGAGAAAGAGATGTGGTTTCTCAAGACTACCATCACCCCAGAGCAGCTTCTGTTCAGTATGCCATCCTTTGCTTATGATTTGACTTCCTTGTCTTCCTAATTAACCATTCTTGCCACAATCAGAACTCTCTTCTTGAGCTGTAGTTCCTGTTTCCCCTAGTATGTACTTATTTATCACTGAGTAGACAGCTGGAATCTTGCCCTCATTGCATCCTTTCCTTCCACACACACAGACGCTGTTACTATAAAAGTTAGAGAAACATATTTCCTTAACATGAAACTGCATGTGCTCTACCTATGACATAATCATATAAAAAATCAAATAAGATCACTTTTCTTTCCAGAGCGGTGTTGTGGCGTTCTCTCTCTCTCTCTCTCTCTCTCTCTTTATCTCTCTCTCTCTCTCTCTCTCTCTGTGTGTGTGTGTGTGTGTGTGTGTGTTTATTGTATTTTATTTTATTCTCACAGAACTCCTATAAAGGCATAATCTCAGAATCATTCTGTATGGAACAGATTCCCTACCTTTGTGAAAATGAAAACAAAATACATAGTAAAAACATATGATTCAGCAAATATTCTGGTCTAAATATTCCCTTGGCATTTATGTCACAAAATGTCTCCCTTTTCTGGTATTCAGCCTCCCCTTTTAATAGCACACAGAGAATGAACACCGGCTTGAAGTGCCATATGAGGCATTTTTCCCAGGGTCTGGTAGGAACTGGACAATGGCAGCCCAGTGGGCACTTTGCAGAACTGTGTTAGTACAAATACCTTTATGTTCATTTCTCAGGAATCCAGAAAGTCAAGTTTTCTGGTTATGCAAGTATTCCTTTTTAGTATTTTTTGACTACTTGGCAGCATTTAAAGTATAACAAATGTACTTTAACAATATCAACATCTAAGCTATGAGTGAATTCTTTTGTTGGGGGGGTGGTATGAAATTTAATAATCCAAAAGACATGGTGACAGTCAGAGACTAAAGGCTGAAATAAAGCAAATATACCTCATGAGAAAAGGTACATTATTTAAAATGGTATATCAAGTGTTATTAAATAATTCAACACAATAAAATAAATTTCATGTGTATGTGTATGTGTGTGTGTGTGTGTGTGTGTGTGTGTGTGTGTGTGTGTGTGTGTGTGTGATGGTTAGTATCAATGGTCAAATTGTCAGACCCTGAAATCACCTGGGAGGCAAATCTCCAGGTATATGTGTGAGGAATTATTTAGCCTCTCACTTGCCTGTGAGGGATTAGGCTGATTTTGTTAAGTGAAGTAGAAAGATTGATGCTGAAAAGGGGAGAAGATATTCATTGGGCTTAGGTAAAAAGAAGATGAGTTGAGCAAAGGCATTGCTGGTACACTGCCTCTTCTCTGTAGATGCACTGTGGTCAGCTGCTTCAGTCTTCCTCTAGCGTGACTTCCCATCATGACAAACCAGAACTTACGGGTATGAATCAAAAGAGACTCTCCTTTTCATCACTTCTAAGCATTAGTACTTTCTTTTTATCATAGAAATAGAACAAGTAAATAAGACCATACACAATTCCTTTTCATCATAGGTCTATTTTTTTCTCCACTCACAAATAAAACTTTTCATGCTCTACACATCAACATAGAGGCATGGAGCACCAGGGATGCATCCCACAACCTACAGAGGAAACCTCTCTTCATCTTTCCCTTTGTTGACGTGCAAACATATTTTTCCACCTAAATATCTCGGCTTTCATCAGCATTGTATGTCATCAACAATAATGTTTGAACATACTCTAATTCAAGAGAAAAGGAGGAGAGTTAAGAGAGTGAGAGGAATTAGGGAATGGAATAGGCCAGGGCTTCAGTTCTCCACAGGTATTGTCAGTCAGCTTCAGAACACATTGCTGGGGCCCTCTGTGTTGACAAAGGCCATGATGTCTAATGAGATGCAAACTGCAGGCCCTGACCTTGCACACCTGAAACAGATCCCCTCACACACACTTTTTGACAGAGGAATGATCCTGGTATCTTGGCAAGAGTCCAGCATGATAATTGCATTTCTGTTCATATTTCCTCACCCTGCAGTTTTTACTATTAATGGGAATTCTTCTGATACCTGAGAAAATGGCACATAGGAAAAAATAAAGTTACCACATTCCAAAGAGTGGACATCTCTAACATTAGGAGGGAAATTTAATACTAATCAAGCATCTTTTGTGTTGTTATTTAATTCCTGTTATATAACACATAACAAAGAGAGAGGACACTATAGGGAAAGCATTGGGGAAACACAGGTAGGAAGCAAAGAAACACATCCCAAATTAAACTAAGTTCATTCCAGAAGATTGGACCAAAAATGAGAGTATAATTCTTCTTATGGCAATATGAAAAGAGGTAGATTATTTACATAAACATACTCTTTAATATCCATTATACTTTAATTAGCTTTTGATTACACAAGAAATGTACAAATCCATTCTTATGAAAAAAAACTAATGTTATTACCTCTATTCCATTACAATCCTCAGAGGGAAACAATGCTATTAATTTGACTTATTTCATTCAGAAAACATACACATTTTGTATAACTATAAGTATAACCTTTAAGAAAGAACTAGTGTGTGTGTGACTATTCTATGCAAATTATGGCATGCTTTGTCTGGGCTCTGTGCATGTTTTTTTATCTTTGCTGAATTATTCCAAATCAGCAGCATTTTCTCCATTGCAGCTTTGTATATGGGAGCGTGACATGCTCACGTTGATTTTAAATTTTCTTCCTGTCTTTGAATAGGTATTTATTGCAATGATATTCATTTCAATACCTGCTGTCCTCTGTCACTATGTTCCTTTGTC